GGCCTCGGCTGCTGAAAGCAGGTTTCTGGCCTTTGTTTACCTTCTGTATTTGATACAATGTTGCGGTCCGGCTGGCTGAAGCCCGGCTGACTAACGCAGATTTCTGGGGTTTAGTTTAGCTTCTATATTTGCAACATAGTTGCTTAGAGTTGCAGATGAGAGGCCGGCAAGTCAGGCGGGGAACGTTGGAGTCCGCTGTCACTGGATCGAGCAAGCCTCCCTGTTCGCTTTAGTGCATGGCTGCCGGCCGCCATCTTGGCTGGCAGTTAATTTGCATATCGCCCTGATTAGCCAATGGGACGGGTAGCGGAGGTACAGCTAATTACCATGTTTCTCTTTTATTAGATAGGATGACTAAATTTGAAATGGTTTATTCAATTATTTCTTCTGTACCGGTATAACTAAAGTGTAAATGATTCATTTAATCCCTTAGTGATTCCATACCTACATGATGTTCTACTCTTAAATTTATTTCAAACTTCTGCTTCCTGTGCTGAACTAGCATTCCTTTAGACAGGTCCATTTTATTTTTTCTTTTATTACCAACTTTAGCAGGACAATTGTGGGATGTCTTCCTGTGCTTCCTTCCCCCCAAAACTGACAATGTTTGAGGTAACAATGAGTAGAGAGTAACAAGGTTGTATTGTGCTGTGGAAACTAGGGTGTTTGACTAAGTATATTCATTTGCTACTTGACTCATCCAACACTTTTGTCTTCTGGAACAAAATGGCAAGTTGTCCTGGATTTTCATCACAGATTATCAAAACTGTAGAGAATTTTTCTAAGAGATATACCTTGGTTTTTAATGTTCCCATCTATAATTGGGTGGGTTTTCAAAGATAGATGATTATAAAAAGTATATTTATCTACATTAATAATTTATTGAGGATATGATGAATTAATATTATTCTCTTTATTTTTTTCAGGGGGCTATTCATGCCAAGTATGATGCAATTGATAAAGATACTCCAATTCCTACAGATAGACAAGTATGATTTAGATTTTCTTAAACAATCTAAGATAATTTTGCCAAATCTTTAATTTATAGAAAGGCAAGAGGGAATTTATCTTCTTTTCATTATGCTCAGCAGCCATCATATTCTTATGCTGTTCGAGTAAGCATAACTTTTGTATCAGAAGTTAGTGAATTAGAACTGTCCCTAAAAGGAGTATAAGCCAAGTGACTTTTCTTAGTAATTGTACTTTATCTGTAGAATCTGCCCTTTATATAGTAAAGAAAGATTTTTTTGGAAACTATATTGATACATACCTTTTCAAAAGAAATGGTCTGTTTTCCTTAAGTGTACAACCTTTTTATTGTTTCCAGAGTGTTAATATAGAATTCAAAAACTTTAGATACCAGGATTATGTAATTGGTCTATTCTGAAATTTATAATAAAATTTTTTTTCTTTACCTTGGGGTTTATTGGAAATCACAGTTTCATCTTATTGTTTTGCTATTTTACAGATTGAAGTGGATATTCCTCGTTGTCATCAGTATGATGAACTGTTATCATCCCCAGAAGGTCATGCAAAATTTAGGCGTGTATTAAAAGCCTGGGTAGTATCCCATCCTGATCTGGTGTATTGGCAAGGTAACTTTTTTCCCCAATTATTAAGACTCTTTTTGAAGTATAGGGAGCATGTTGCATGACTGTTTCAAAAATTAAAATATCAAAACATACTTGGCTTTGAGAAAAGTCAATACTAAAGCCATGATCCATTTATTGAAAGGTTTATATGAGAACTTTTTAAAAAAACGTTGCCTATATGCCAAGTAGAGATCATTTAAAGGCATGTTATTTAATGAGACAGTTTGCCATCATGTTAATTAGGAAAATAGAAAGAACATTTTGTGTGATTGTAATCTTTGTGGATACATTGTCTCAGTGCTTATGAAAATAATAAAATAATTTTATAGCATAAATAGTTTGGGGCTAGTTCAGTGGTTCTCAACCTTCCTAATGCTGCGACCCTCTAATACAGTTCCTCATGTTGTGGTGACCCCCAACCATAAAATTATTTTCGTTGCTACTTCATAACTGTAATTTTGCTACTATTATGAATCGTAATGTAAATATCTGATATGCAGGATGTATTTTCATTGTTACAAATTGAACATAATTAAAGCATAGTGATTAATCACAAAAACAATATGTAATTATATATGTGTTTTCCGACAGTCTTAGGTGACCCCTGTGAAAGGGTTGTTCCACCCCCAAAGGGGTTGCGACCCACAGGTTGAGAACCGCTGGGCTAGTTGATATTTTACCTTTTATTATTTACAATTTATACTTAACCTGTTTATTGGAAATTAGGGAATAGGATACCACCCTAAACTATTTATTTTATTTATTATCTCTTTAAAAAACATCCTTAATGTTCCATATCCTTGATTTTTACCATTCTCATTATTATTTTTATGGTCATTGATAAATTCATGCATGAGAAATCCGTTACACCCAGTCCTATATTTGAATTTGTTGTAATGAACAGTGTTGTTATTTAATATTTAAATTCTCTATTTCTGGCTGAACTTAAAATTAAGCTATTATTTTTCTTAGCTCTGTCCATTTTAGAGAAGTCCTGTGTCTTCCAAACAATTATAGATAGATTTATGTACGTTCTTTCGGTATGACAACATATGAACAGCATTATTATCAATAAAAGGAATATGTCACATATTTGTATTTCACTGCACAATTTTTTTAAAGGGTCTTTTTTCATGATACCAAAGAAGCATGTAAGACAAATCTCCTCTAAGATGAGGAAATATGCCTGGGGATGTTAAGTCATTGCCAAGAACACACAGGGTCAGAAATGGGATTATATCCCAAGCCTTCTATCATCTTTACATTTTGCTGTTAATATATTTCTCTCTTAAACTCATAATAATATTGATAATAATAAAAGCTGATTTATGTTGGGCACATACTATGTGCTAGTCATTATCAGTTACTCCCCACAGTGACCCATAGATAATATAGTTCTGGATGAATAGTACTTATAATGCTTAATCTATAGAGAGGTAATGCAGAGAACTGAATAAGGTATATATCTACAGTTCTACTTAATTATGTTTATTTGAATTCTTTTCTTCAACCCCTCCCCATCAGGTCTTGACTCACTTTGTGCTCCATTCCTATATTTAAATTTCAATAATGAAGGTAAGCTTATTTATCAATTAAATAATTGTGGTGCATATTATTCTAAAATATTTTATTCAAACATGAAAGGTTTTTGTTTTTATTATAAGGATCTTGCTTGCTTTCTAGGAGATAGTATAGATATCTGTGAGATAATCTGTTGTATAATTTTAGAGCATGTGAAGAATTTATTATTGGAGAGTTTTTTATTCTAAAAAATTCATCTACTTTGGTGACCATTTTTATGAACATAGGAGAAAATTTTGACTTCTTTAGAGATTAGGTTTAGCCTGTGTATATTTCCTAAACAATTTATAAAGGAATTCATATTAATCTTGTATCTCCAAAGCCTATTATTTCAACCACTACCTTCTTAATGAAAACTTTTCTCATTCTCCCTCCTAAACCCAGCACTTTGTATTTCAGGAAAGTATTTGTGTATATTTTGTGTTCTAGTTATTTATTACTAATATAGTAATCCTTTTTTTGGTTAGCAGCTTTTTAAAAAAATTTTTAGTGATTGATTTTAGAGAGTCAGACAGATAGACATCAATTTCTTGTTCCACTTATTTATTCATTTATTGATTGATTCCTGTCTGTTCCCAGACTGGGGATGGAACCCACAACCTTGGCATATGGGCATGACACTGCAACCAACTGAGCTACCCAGCCAGGGCAGCAGCAGCTTTGTTTAATGATTGATTTTTTTTTCTGTTTTTTATTCCCCTGTTATAATGCCTTTATTATAGTAGATTTTTCAGTAAATATTTGTTACACTTAACAGACTCAAATCTCTAAAGATATCACATATAGAAAGTATTTACCATATATATAATGTAACTCTCTAGAAGCCTTAATCTCAAAATCTTTATTTTTTTCAAATTCTATTTCATGTCAAATTTTGCATAGATTTCTGGAAATAAGTAGAGATAGCATAATCCCAGAGAACTAAAATTTTGTAATTTTAATTGGTTTAAAAATACACTGTTCTATGATATTTCTCATTATCTAGACTACATGTTTGCTATGTTTTGTTAGGTATAGGCCATTATTACACATATTGCTTGAAGAATAGTAAGCAGTCTGTATTTAAAAAAATAATTTATGACTATGGTTCCTAAATCCAAGTTCTGAGGCTTTTTTGTTTGCATCAACAAAAAATAAGGATCTTTTGGTTTGTATAGCTCATTAATAATGGCCATGATTGGAGATTTTTAAAAATTTGTAAAGTTCAGATAATAAAGGTTCTTATTATTATGCGATAACAATTTCTATAGTAGTTTGAAATTGAAAAGTTACTAGGTGGTTTTCTTTTGTTCAAATTATTTTCTGTTTTAAAGAGCAAATGGTTTTGTGTCTTTAAATTTGTGTTTTCATCAATTATTGGCATAAACTTATTTAATAGTAGTTAAATAATTTATTGCATGCATTTGCCTTATTCTTTCTTAGCCTTGGCGTATGCGTGTATGTCTGCTTTTATTCCCAAATACCTGTATAACTTCTTCTTGAAAGACAACTCACATGTAATACAAGGTAAGCATTAAATGTCCTTCCTTGTCTTTTTAAAGGAATATATTATGTCATGTAACCAATACTCAGTTAAATTTATGATTTTGACCCAATAAAATAGGTTGATAATGTTCACTAAAACTAGTGAAGAGATCTTAAGTTTAGTCTTTATTCCAAGTCCCCAGCAAATTAGGGTTTTTTTTCCAATGACTGTTCAATATCTGATCTCTGTTCAGTTCAAATTGAGGCATGCTAGTTTAAGAAAATAAAAGTCTTGCTATTTTTCTCTCTCACAATTAAAATTTCCCACACAAATTTTCACCATGGACCAAGCTTATTATGAATTAGTAAAAAGTTTAAACAATATTTAATTATGTAAATAAAGAGAATATTAAACACACTTCTCATTCATCTCATTCCCCATGCTTGAACGCCCAAAATATTCGTCTTCTGTCTTCTACTTTCCTAAAATACACACCTTTCTTCAGAGTCCAAGTCATAGCATAACCCACTTGTGAATTCTTACATGACTACGCTCACTAGCCACAAACTTTTACTATAATTTTCTAAACTCCTTTTTAGTACAAAATAACAAAAGTTAATAATAAACACTTTTGAATCAGGCAAACTTTATTTCAAATGTAAATTGGGTTAATTATTTCATAATCTTGGACAAATAAAGTATGTTTGCTAGGTATAATTTTCCTAATATCTAAAATAAAGGTTCTTATAAAGGTTAAACATAAAATATGTAAATGTATGGTATATAGAAACTTTCAATAACACCAATGACTTTTTTATTATTATTGTTACTATTATTATTTTATTGCTATTGTTATTAAAATTATTTTGCTAATCTTATTATCATGATATTATATATCATGTCTTATCTTTAAACAAGAGTCTAAATGTTTTAAGGGCAGAAAATTTTCTTATACTTTTGTATTTCTTTTGGAACTGACTACAAAGCTGGTCACATAGTTTTCCCATTTACTAATTGTATGTTACTTTTCAGATTCTGCCTTCATTTAAACTTATTATTTATTATTTATGTCATCAATTCAACTACATTTTCAACAACTTGAAACTAGTGCTTTGTTTTATTTATATTTATGTAATTATGGTTTGATATAATTCATTCAGTTTGAATACATGAAGTGGCAAATACAGGCTATGTGCAATTTATTAAACATTCTCAATAAGTGGGGTCTCAATTAGCAATATATTCACTTACTTAGCATGAGTATAAAATTAGAGTATCAGAAGTAAATATAATGAGAAAATAACTAGAAAGGCAGTAGAAATGGAAATGTAAATTAAATAGATAAAGAGGCTAAAAATAGAAGAAAAGAATATGGATAAATAGTGCAGCACATAAAAACATTTATTTTTCCAGCATCATTTACCTCAAAGTATAGAGAAAAATAATTTAAACTTTTAAAAAGCATTTTGTGTGTTTATAAGCACACCAAGTCATGTTCAGCACTCTGTGTCTACAATGTAGATAGGTACTAGAAATTAGTATAATGATCCAGTGTCTCTTCATTAATTTTGAAATGCAAATTCTATTGATTTATATTTGTATTTAGAAATGTTTTAAAATGGATATGCCTAATACCCTGCATGTTCCTAGAAAGTGGACTTGTACAAAGTTGGGATTAATTTAAGAATATTTTTAGAGAGCAACAAAATTTTGCTTTGATTTTTTTTTATAATCAAAGATGAGTATGTTTTTTTGGGAGGAAGTTTTTTTTTTCTTGTAGGTTAGTTTAGTAAAGCCATCCAACTTAAAGAGTCATGCAATGTTATCCTCTAAGAATTTATGAAGTGATGTCCTATAAGAGCGTGGCTTGTATCTTACTAATTGGTATGCATTTCACACTTACTCATAGTTTCCTTATTATGCTTATCAATGATGTTTATTATAGAACTAGAGGCCAGGTGCATGAAATTTGTGCATGGGGGTGGGGGGTCCCTCAGCCCAACCTGTACGCTCTCCAATCCAGGAGCCCTCAGGTATGTCCTACTGATGGCTTAGGCCCACTCCCCGTGGTTCTCTGTTCTCTGCGGGGCCTGCCTGCTCCACACCACGGTGATGGCCATGCAGGCTCTGCTTGGTGCTGCCTGCGGGCCGCGCTTGCCTGCTCCCGGGTTGCTGGATGCTGCCTATGGGCCGCACTTGCCTGCTGGGCTTGCACTGCCTGGGCGATGCCGCCAGCGTCCCACCCCAGCCTCTATGGGCACCGCCATCTTTGTTGTAGAGTGACAGTTAATTTGCATATTACTCTTTTATTAGATGGACAATGTACTCTGTAAGATTCCAGCCATTCCTGTCTGAAGAAGCTTCAATAAAGGCCCAAGTTCTTCTATAGTTTCTCTTGTAGACTGGGGACCCCGTGGTCAATTGGTAGCTCCACAAGCCTGGCAACTAGAAATCTTATCAAATCCCCCATAGGACTATGAGTGAGGAAGCACAAAGGAAGGCCAGAAACCTGGGGTGTACTGGCCAAATGAGAACTGAGGGTTCATGGCCTGGTCCAGTTCCTTCCTGCCCAAGGTAGCTTAGTTGATTAAAATTGGTCACCAGTAGGCTATTGCATGAAGTCTGCCCCTCAGCACTCTATGTTCACATGCAACACTTTTATTGTATTCCCTACCTCCTGCTTCTGCCATCCCATAATACTCTTGAATGAATTGTCAGGCCCACTAGTGTACGACATTAGAGATTTTGCAATAAATTATTTATGCTGGTAAAAAAGAAATGAGTATATTTAAAACACCTTGGATGATACTAGAGGCAATATACAATGTAAATAATCTGTCAGATAGTGACTAAAGACAAACTGAAAGCACTAAAAGTAAAAAGTAATCATGTTAGTAGTTGTGCAAAAAAGGTGGTTCTTTAATCCTCAGTTAAATATAAGTCAGAAATAGAATGCTGTTATTTTTAAAGTTAATGTGAACTTGTAATATTAGCTAAACTTTCATATTTAAAAGCCTGGAAATAATATTTTTTCAAATTTGTCAGGCCCTTAATAAAGCATAGTGCCTAGCTGGATTTCTGTACTTTTAAGAGAGATGTAGCTATTTGGAGAATCTTCAAAAAGCAATTAAAACAGAACTTATACAATGAATTATCTATAGTATTTATTAGATGGCTGGATGATGTCTGGATGACCAGTTTTCAAAGGGTCATATTAGATAACTTCCATTACAGTAATTGTTATTTTGGCTCTGTGTAGATACCTATTTTAAAATACAGAAATTGCCTTAGCCAGTTCGGCTCAGTTGCTAGAGCATTGGCCTGTGGACTGAAGGGCCCAGGTTCGATTCTGGACACATGCCCGGGTTGCTGGCTCAATCCCCAGTAAGAGGTGTGCAGGAGGCAGCTTATCAATGATTCTCTCATCACTGATGTTTCTATCTCCCTTCCTCTCTAAAATCAATAAAATATATATTAATAAATAAATAAATGCCCGAACCAATATGCTCAATTAATATTTGACAAAGGAGGCAAGAACATACAATGGAGCCAAGATAGTCTCTTCAATAAATGGTGTTGGGAAAATTGGACAGATATATGCAAGAAAATGAAACTAGACCACCAACTTACACCATACACAAGAATAAACTCAAAATGGATAAAGGACTTAAATGTACGACAGGAAACCATAAAAATTCTAGAAGAATCCAAAGGCAACAAAATCTCAGACATATGCCAAAGCAATTTCTTCACTGATACAGCTCCTAGGGCACTTGAAACTAAAGAGAAAATGAACAAATGGGACTACATCAAAATAAAAAGCTTCTGCACAGCAAAAGAAACCATCAACAAAACAACAAGAAAACCCACTGCATGGGAAAACATATTTGCCAACGTCATATCTGATAAGGGCCTAATCTCCAAAATTTATAGGGAACTCATACAACTTAACAAAAAGAAGATAAACAATCCAATCAAAAAATGGGCAAAGGATCTAAATAGACACCTTTCAAAAGAGGACATTCAGAAAGCCAAGAGACATATGAAAACATGCTCAAAGTCACTAATCATCCGAGAGATGCAAATCAAAACAACAATGAGGTACCATCTCACACCTGTCAGAATGGCTATCATCAACAAATCAACAAACGACAAGTGCTGGAGAGGATGTGGAGAAAAAGGAACACTTGTGCACTGCTGGTGGGAATGCAGACTGGTGCAGCCACTATGGAAGACAGTATGGAGTTTCCTCAAAAAACTGGAAATGGAACTCCCATTTGACCCTGTGATCCCACTTCTAGGAATATATCCCAAGAAACCAGAAACACCAATCAGAAAGGATATGTGCACCCATATGTTCATAGCAGCACAATTCACCATAGCTAAGATCTGGAAACAGCCTAAGTGCCCATCAGTAGATGAATGGATTAGAAAACTGTGGTACATCTACACGATGGAATACTATGCTGCTGTAAAAAAGAAGGAACTCTTACAATTTGCAACGGCATGGATGGAGCTGGAGAGCATTATGCTAAGTGAAATAAGCCAGTCAATGAAGGAAAAATACCACATGATCTCACTCATTCATGGATAATAAAGACCATTACAAACTTTTGAACAATAATAGATACAGAGGCAGAGCTGCCTCAAACTGATTGTCAAACTGCAGTGGGAAGGCCAGAGAGGGTTGGGGGGCAGAAGGGAGGGGAGTAAGAGATCAACCGAAGGACTTGTATGCTCCCTTCCTCTCTAAAATCAATAAAATATAAATAAATAAATAAATAAATAAATAAATAAATAAATAATAAAATACAGAAATTATTTACCTCTGAAGGTTTCATTTTTCCAGTAATTGTTTCACATTGCAGATCAATGTGTGTATTATCTAGTGATAATGAATTTTTAACATGAAAGAGTTTTCACTCTTTTTAACTACAGACTTTGTTAGTATACTGTTAAAAGGCTTGTTATACAAGTATGACAATATCTTATTTAATATATGAAAATGCAAGAGAAACCATAATGTACACCATATGAATTT